CAATTCCCTCATCCAAGTCATTGATGAAAATGGGGTTTAACACTGTCTTAATACATCATTCTCATTCAGAGACTAGAGAAATGCAGTATAGAACAGTATTATTCAAATTTTTCACTCCAAGATTTCAACCAGTTAACTATCTGGTCCAAGTAGCTTCTGGAATCTCGATGACACTTTTCTACCTGGTCTGTTCTGTAGGCCTTTCCCTTTAGGCTATATCTTGTAGGCCAAGAAGACCAGATCTAAATCAAATATCTCTAAGTTATGCACATGCAAAATGCGGCCCTGAAGGTTCACTGCCAAGTTAGAGGGACAAATCGAGTAATGCAGCAGAGATCAGTGCTAGATCTACTACCTTTAAATTTCATTGATGAGCTGGATTCACATTGTTATTGGCTGCCACAATATGCACCTTTTTTTTTTTTAGTGAAAATTATTAAAGTGTGTTTGTTTCATAGATTTTCACCATGAAAAAGTATTACTCTTTCCAGTGAATGCTGTCTCTCTAGATCCAAATCCTATTGCTAAATCTGCCTGAAGTAACAAGAAGTAATGCATCACAATTCTGTATGTGAAAGAAAAAAAAATAAAATCACAGAAACAGCTGTTCCAAAGGACAAGATATCAATTAAAAATATTTGTTTTGTTTTTCCTTTCTTTTGAAGTGTAAGCAGAACAATGACTTATTTTCAGGAAAACATGAAAGATCTGGAGTGGTTTTACTCCCAGACAGAGCATCTGGAACTTTGCTACACCATAAACAGATCTATTTCCAGGTAGTGCAGAGATTTCATTTATCACTGCTGTCCTTACTAAGCATCCCTCCAATCCATCTGTCTGTGCTCAGTTGATATGCCAGGTTATCCTTGACTAACTCACACAGGCTGACGTATGCAGCCACTCCACTATCACAGCTACATTGCCTGACTAAAAAGAACCTGCTCCTTCCTTGTTCAAACAGTATTTTACTGTTAAGAGCATAGTTACTTCACTTTGCAAGTAAGCATAGAAAAAAAGCCCTGAGTCAATTAGCATACCATCAAATTTATGAAATGGTGTGTTGTTAACCCACGCTACAGAACTGCCACCTCACACTCAGCACAGAGGATTACAGAAGTGTAGGAGCTCCGAGTTTCATTTATCTTAATAACAGCATTATCAGCTATGCTCTCCTCAAATCTGAGTATAATTGTGAGGAACTTCCCTCTAGAGCAGCAAAGCTTTTCTTTCTTATGAAAGAAAAGCATTAACATGAAGACTCATCTTTACAGGTGACAACGATGCATTATCATCTCCTATTTATGCTGAATTTTAGTTTCTCGAGAGGAGTATGTTAAAACCGTATAAATGGATAGATCTTCTGCCAGACTTTCAGTCACAGATAGAGCACGTGTACATAAAAGTACAAAAATCAAGTTTATATGCGTACGTATGCACAGATACCCACACGTGCACATATATATTCTTTGAAGTCCAAGATGGTGATGGAATACCTTGTAAATATACATTACAGTATATGGTCTAAGAATAAGAACATTATCTTAAGGACACAAAACCATTTGGGAATGGGACTGAATAAAGCGAGAATGGAATGGGCAAATTCTGTATGGAAGTTAAGGAATACACAGCTCACATGCTATGAAAAAACCTGCTTCTCTGCCTTAACAAAAGATAAAAGACATCATATACATACATTCCCATAACATATGTTTAGGAAAAAAATAAAGACTATATTCCGAATCACCAATTTATGTTAAGTATTTCTTACTTTTACAGAATCTTTAAGAAACATTAACTTGAATGCTACTATTATAAAGTAATGCAAAGACAATAAAGATGTATCTGCCTCCCCTTAGCCTGGTTAGTAGTTTCACGTCATAACTTAGGTTTTGCTTTGCCTTGCGCAGTTGTGCTATTTCAGCAGTCAGCATGAGCAAAGACAGCAATCCAGTCAGAAAAGGAGCCATAAACCATTTAACAGTTGGTGTGAAGCATACAGTAAATGAGGAAAGCAGCAGATGAACTGTGTGAAAGAAGAAGGTGAACTGCGTCCAGGGTAGCGCAGGGCACTTTCAAGCTCCTCTTGGGAACCCATCAGCACGTGGGAAGTAAGAGGATTTGACAGGCAAAGAACAAAACTGAGTAACACAGCAACTATGTGATGGAAGTTGCTTGCACCTCACAGAGACTATGCTATGAAAAGAACAGTCCTGCTAACAACTCTAAAGCATGACCAGCTTATGGAAGGAAAATGAGGCTAGATTTGGTGTCTGTGTTCTCACATGCGTAAGACATATGTGTATCTTAAAACAAACAGGCCTTCTCAAGTGGTTGTTGTGCAACAACAGCAAAACTATTGTCTCTACAAATTAGTCTGGTCTGTAAGTGTCAAAAGGCTCACAGACACAAATAAGTATCTCTGGTGAGACTGCATTTGGAATATTGTGTTCAGTTCTGGGCCCCTCAGTTCAAGAAGGATAGAGAGTTGCTTGAAAGAGTCCAGCACAGAGCCACAAAGATGATTGAGGGAGTGGAGCATCTCCCTTATGAGGAGCGGCTGAGGGAGCTGGGTCTCTAAATTTAGCTTGGAGAAGAAGAGACTGAGGGGTGACCTCATTCATGTTTATAAGTTTGTAAAGAGTGAGTGTCAGGAGGAAGGAGCCAGGCTCTCCTCTCTGATGTCCAATGACAGGACAAGGGGCAATGGGAGCAAGCTGGAGCATAGGAGGTTCCATGTGAACATGAGGAAAAACTTCTTTATTGTGAGGGTGACAGAGCACTGGAACAGGCTGCCCAGAGAGGTTGTGGAGTCTCCTTCTCTGAACACATTCAAGGCCAACCTAGACACCCTCCTGTGTGACCTAGTCTAGGTGATCCTGCTCTGGCAGGGGGGTTGGACTGGATGATCTTTCGAGGTCCCTTCCAACTCCTGAGATTCTGTGATTCTGTGATCTCCAGTTCATTCAAAGCATGAGCTCTGGCCTTCTAAGGAACTGATCAAGTATCCAATAATGTTTTCTGTCCACACAGCATTGTAGACTGAGACAGACAGAATTTAAAACCTGAATTGTTCTTTGTTCAAGGGAAAAATCATTCCAAGAAGACAAACCTCAAAAAAACTCCAACCACTGACACCCCAAAACCAAACAAACAAAACAAAAACCACCATCCTCCAATAAAACAGTTTACAGCCTTGAAATTGGGAATTTGGGATCATTTAAGCTTCAACAGAGCTCTGCTAGTTATTTTTAAATACCCTCTGTACAGAAAGATGCCAAACAGGGAAGGCAGTAATACTACAATCTACAATCAATCTAGACGCCTGAGTCAGCATTGGAGAATTCCTTACATGGACGAGGATGGTAAGAAACACGTCAACCTGTCTCATCACGTGGAGATGCGACCAATCACCAAATCCCTCCAAGGAGATCAGAGGAGATGGGCAAGAAAGATGAGCTCAGGGAAGAACATAAGGAATGACTGCAAATTATCATAAAGATAGCCAATCTTGTCCCAACGCAAGTGGGACTTGAGGATGACCTCTGTTTCAGATATACAGCTGCACCAGTGGGTCATCACATGGTGCAAATAATGAATAACAACACTTTTCAAACAACACTTTCACACCCACCACATCCATATTTTTCAACAATGCTGCTATTTTTTTTTTCCTAAAAAGAAGTGGAAGCATATTAGCATTTTGTATGCATTTGCTCTCTTCTATTTTTAAACAACCATCAAAAATACTCGCTAATAGAGTGGGATAAAAAGTGACGAGATGTACTTGTCAATACTGTAATGATTCTTGCCATCTGGATGGACTTAATACATCGCAAAACTTAAGGTCTGAGGAGAAATTTAAGAATGCTTCTTTCTTTTCCAACAGCTTTTAGCTGCTAGGTACCATCTAAACATATACCTTCCTAGACACAGCCAAAGCTATTAGCTACATTCTGAAGACCAGCTGATGTAATTCAAGTTAAAAAAGGGACTTTGGCTAATGCCTTGAAATACCTTACCTTTGAATCATATGCTGATTGCTTTATTACTTCAGGAGCCATCCAAAATGGCGTTCCCACAAAGGTATTCCTCTTTATCTGTGTATCCGTTAGTTGTCCTGCTACTCCAAAATCTGCTAGTTTTACTTCTCCTTGTTCAGACAGCAATACATTAGCAGCTGGAATAAAGAAGAGGAAATAGTGGAGATTAAGACACTGTAAAGGCGTTCATTTACATCGCATGAGGTCTCCTAATATTCTTACAATATAAATAAAAAAACATTTACCCTTAATATCTCTGTGGATTTTCTTTTCTGAATGCAAGTAATCGAGTCCTTTGAGTATCTCCCTCAATATTGTAGCAATCTGAGTTTCATCAAGTGAGCCAGGTTCTAACTAGGAGACACAAGAAATTTTTATATATGTGTGTATATACATATAAATATATAAATATATATATGAAGGAGAAACAGAACAGAAATAACACTGTGACTATAAAAAGAAATTATTCCTTCTGTCACACCTCAAAACTTCCAATTTGCTAACTTTGTAACATAAGACACAACCCAGAATATTCTTTTTAAAAATACATAGTTCTAAACTAAGTGGCCTTATGAACAACAGGAGAATAAATACTTCACTTATTGAGAACATTTATGAAGTCTGTTAAAGGCTCCATAAAGACACAGTTTCAAGTTACTGCTTTGTGGTCAGGTCATAGACATATACACTGCCTTTGAAAAGCATCTGCACTGCAATCTGATTATCAACATTACACTGAACTCAAACGTGCAACTCCACAGGTCCTGTATGGACTCAAATCTCGGAGTCTAAGCAAGAAACTAAGGCATACAGGGTACCACATCAACCAAATATCCTATTACTATATACTGCATGGGATTTTGTGAAACTCTCTAAAACACAACTCAAACTTCTAGGCTGACAGAGCATATGTATTTTTAAAAGTTAACCTTTTAAATATAAAACTCAAAGTATTGAACTGCAAACTGTTAGAATTAAAGGTTCCAAATAATGTAATTCTTATGAAAAGAAACAGCAGTAATAGAAGATCTCAGAGCTCTCTACATCTGCCATAAATTCTAGAAGTGAAAATGCCACTAACTCTAAAGAGACAGAGGAAAGGTCACTACCCAGAGAGACTTCTTAACCAATAATGGCATTTTGAGACACACACTGAAACTTGGTGGACAACAATTAATAACGGAAATATTCCAGTGTCCTAGTTTACTCCACAATAGTAGTCACTGAAACACAACCAAAAAGTTGTATCTCTGAAGCATCACTGCGTTTCAGCATTTCAGATAAATTTCAGAAAGCATTTCAGATAAAATTTAAATACTACATTACTCAGAAATCCCCAGCTAACAGATAGGAGCAGAGGTAAGATCTCAGGTAAAGTAGACAACATATCTGTTTTACCTTTGTAGTTTTGCTTACAATATTTTTTGCTTTTTTTTAGCTTTGATAATTTGGTCTCAATTGGAATGACAATTTTCACATACTTAACACATTCATTTTTATTTCTTAACAGTATTTTTAAACCCTCAATAAATATAAAATGGTATGTGATTTTTTTTTTTAATAGCTAAAGTGAATGGCCAGTCATGGAAAACACAGTCTGCACTAAATCTTTTCAAATTTTATGATTCAAAACTCAGTAACTTTTTGTTACTGCATCTGGGGCAGTTAATCTGGTCTTTCAAACATCCTGCACTATATCTCTAGAAATCATACTTTATTAAGCAGATCTTACAGAATTAGATACAAAAATCTTTGCTGGAAGAGAAACGGAACAGATACAGCTCACTAAATTTACAATTTGCACGGTTCTAGATTTATGTATGGCATGCAAACACAGCAAATACATCATAGTATATCACAAGTTGGAAGGGACCCAATAAGGATCACTGAATCCAGCTCCCTGCTCCTCGCAGGACTACCTAAAACTAAACTATATGACTAAAAGCATTGTCCAGATGCTCTTTGAGCTCTGACCGGCTTGGTGCTGTGACCACTTCCCTGGGGAGCCTGTTCCAGTGACCAACCACCCTCTTGGTGAAGAGTCTTTTCCTAATGTCCAACCTGAATTTCCTCTGATGCAGCTTCACTCCGTTTCCTCATATCCTGTCGCTGGTCACAAGAGGAGATCAGCACCACCTCCTCCACTGTCTCCCTTGAGGAAGTTGTAGCCTGTGATGAAGTTCCTCCTCAGCTGTCTCTTCTCCAAGCTGAACAAGCCAAGTGACCTCAGCTGTTCCTCCTAAGTCTTACCCTCAAGGCTTTTCACCATCTTGGTTGCCCTCCTCTGGACACACTCTTTAATAGTCTGACGTCCTCCTTGTACTGAGGTGCTCAAAACTCCACACAGCACTCAAGGTGGAGCCACAGTGTATTGTGTATCTGTCTCTGTTTAGACTTCAGTGAGACTTCAAACAAGGAAACTTTTGTTTGTTTGGGGGTGGTGGGGAAGGTATGTTAAAATGTATACACTAGGAAGAGTTGTGGGGGCTAAATTAAGAGACAGAAAAATCTATTTTCAGCCACTACTGCTCTCTGGCTGACTGAAGATCAGCATTCCAAGATGTTTATATCCTGCTTCCAATATTATGTGGCTTAGTTCCCTTCCATCTATACAAATAATCAGTCTTGCCTCATGGAAAATGACATTTTTCTGGCATTGACAAATGCTTTTTCTCCTCTACTGGAAGAAAAGATGGTCATAGTCAAATGATATACTATGGTTTCCAGAATTATGAGATAGGAAAATAACTATGTGAGGTAAAATTACAAAAATAATACACAATTTACTTACTAGATCAAGGGCAGAGCCTCCACCCAGATATTCCATTATTATCCATAATTTTGTATCCTGAAAAACAACAACAAAAATTATGTTTTTTTAAAAACTCAGTTAATGAATCAGTCAAAAAAATAAGTTAATGGAACTTGTTCCATTCTTTTTGTTGAAGAAAGAATCTACAGTTTCGAAACACCATTAACATTTTGCTGCTCCTCCAAAACATCTTTGGATTATTTTATAAGATTAATTCATGCATACTTTTAATTTCACACTCAAACTCATTTCATGCCATCTCTTTTTTGTACTGATACTAATACTTCTAAAATAGAGACAGTCTCCAAATTTAAAATTTATTCTTCGCATCCCTGAGCTGTTTCCTTTTCTTGCAAAGTCAGCCGTCTCTGACCTGAGGAAGTATACCAGTAAGTTTTCACCACTAATGTTTAGGCATCTAATACATGGTATAGAATTTTGGGCATCTGCGTTCAAGAAAGATGAAACAATCTATTAATAAGGATTATTTAAGATGACAATAGCTATTCACTAGGTTTACCTAGTAAAATAAAGGCTAACAAAAAAAAAAAATCAAGCGACTATATTTTCAAGGGGAATCTTGATACATATTACAGGATTGACTAACACCAGATATACAATACACCATGTTCAGAAAGAGACTGGACACAATAATTTCTTTCTGCTGCTTGCAGCACCTTATTCTCAAATGCATCTTTTACTAGCAGTAAAGTCCACCTTTTACTTGGAGTACCAGTCTTGAAATAGATTTTAAAGCAAGGGCATAAATTTACCATATAGATACTGAAATGAAATTGCTACATGGAACATATGGTGAGTTTTGTCCTAGTTTTTATTATTATCAAGTTGTATTATGGTTTGTTAGTTTTAACTCTACGTATCAAACACCCACGAGATTTCTAGCATGAGAACATATGGGTCTCTCAGAGCAAAGAGCATCTAAACAGCAAAAATATTCATTTACTTCATCCTGCAAAACAAAACTTCATGTTAAAAGATCAGCTGACAATTAGGGCAGGCAAGACTGAATAGTAATCTATAAAGATGGATTAAGATTTTAATAGTGGTAAATGTACTGCAGAACATGACTTCTTCTAAATCTCTGGAGAGATTAGAAACTTTTAGCCCTTAGTACTCACTTAAGCATTATATTTGCAGTTCTATTGCATCTGCCCCCTACGTGATCTCAGAATGCACCCTCTGTAGGTAAATGCACACAGTCCTTCCCACTTACCTTCAGTTCCACAAACCGTACTATTTTTAGGTAAGACCTTGGATCAGTTCCTTCATCATCCACTATCTTTAACACACAGATCCAGCTAAATTTAGACAGCTTTCTTCAAATTTAACTAATATTATTTGACAATCACAGTCTTGTTAAAAATATTTTAAAGGAGCCAGAACACATTTTTAAGGAGAAAATTTAATTTTAATATAGTCTGTCTTAGTATCTATATACAGCATTTTGAGAATGCTTACTTTCTGCAGATACCACAGATATTCCAAGAATTATAAGGTCATCTGAAAGAGTCCCTTATAGAACTGAAATACTTGTTTTGCTGCTAAGAGTTTCTCAGATTTTGCCCACCCCTTCAAGGCTCCAAGTCCTAACAGCTGCAGAACAAGTGTGCTGCTGAGAGGCGTCTTACAGTAAGTCATTTCATCTTCAGAAATCTTCCTAAAGTCAATCAAAATTCTATAAACATATTTTGCTTCAGCCTGATAACATCTTTTAAAGCTGCATTAAATTCCCCGAATATTCAAATTCTGAGTGCTTGCAAAATTTACAGTAAATTTTAATAGTGATTTAAGCACAAACTTGTGAACTTTATTACTACTTTTAATTTCAATGGAAATGCCTGGGAAAAAAGCCAGGTAGGACAAACAAACCCCTTGAGCCTCTCAAACAGGAGAGGAAAAAAAAATAAAAGTCAGCAAGAGATACATCTTCCCTTTTTATCATCTCAAAGAGATAACAACATGAAATAAGATACAGTTTCCCAAAAGATAAATTCTCCATAAAACTAGCTGCTAAATTCTCCAGCTGAAAATTAGGAACTACAGATAGAAAATAATTAAAAATATACATATAATTTTAATTACATAGTTACACAATCGTGTACCACAACTACAAACTACACAATTCATAGTCTTTCTAAATCATCATTCATCCTTTTCAACTCTTTTCCTGGTTTGCTCAGTCTTTCCTCCTGAACCTTCCATCAGCTGCTTGGGGCCACACGTCTGACTTTACAATATAAAAGCCATAGATCCAGTAAACTCAGTAATACTATATTTTAAACCAAGTAAAGTATGGAAACGCAGTTAGGGAACACACACAAAACTGTATCTGTATCCCAGTGTGAAGCTAAGCAACAGCAATCTACTACAATTATGCCATATCTGAAGCTCTACATTCAAAGTGATTTAATTCCCTATGGTCCCCCCTCCCACTTGACACAGAAATATTACGCAACTTCATGGATGTTTTGGGCTTTTATTTTCATTGTCATATGAAGCATCTAAACAGATATTACTACTGTAGTGAATCTTACTATCGCCTTTAATTTGTTGCTGGAATTTTATACGTTGCTTAACAAGAAAATGCAAAGAAATGCTTTGGTGAGACAGTTTTAAATAACTGCTTCATAAATATTCTACCTTAGAGCCAGTAACCTACATATACTTACTTTGTGTCTCACGACAACAGCACAAGGCAAGTAGAGCACTACTACCAATTGACTTTGGCATCACCAGAGCAACATGCCTCCTTTTTTCCTGCCTTTCTGTGTATCTCTGGCATGCTTCACATTGCCTAACATCTGCGGGCACTTTCCTTCTTAAAGCTGCCCAAATTCGTCTTTTCATTTATATTTTCAAGAAGCAGGTACGTTTACATACCAAGACTAACAATATTAGGTGTTCCATTTTAAGACCTGAAATAAGACCACATTTTAAGACCTGAAATAAGACCTCTTTTCTTCTTTTAAGCATCAGTCACAACAGAGCACTGAATTTTCTTCCAAATACAGTGAAGACATGGTGGGTCATCAACCCAAATTTAGGATTATTGTTTCTCTATAAGCATACATGAGCACATTAATGAGGGCACATGGAACATTTCATCCTTCACAGTAGGAACAAGAGGTTTCCCTCTGATGCCATGCAACTGAGGAAAGGAACAGTTTTGGAATCTAAAAGCAGCTCTGATACAGAAAGGCAGATTTTCTGTAAACCCTTTCCAAGCCAGTTTGCTTTTCTTGTGGTCTGATTTCCAATTCTAACTCTGGAACCACACAGAAACCTTACAATACCAGCTGTAACTCTAATGAGGTACTCTCCATTAACTCACTGTTATGACAGTGGTTGTAAAATAAGCGCAGTTAAAGCAGGTAAAGAACTTCTAACGTGTAAAAATCAAGGGCTACCCACTAGAGGGGAAAAAAAAAGGCCATCTACCAAAAAACACCTCTAGAGTCTCAGAAGCACATTTTAACTGAAGTCAGAGGCGCACAGAAGATATATACAAAAATAAGCAATCAAGATTAAAATGTTTGTTTATGAATCCTTAAGAAGTTAATAAAACAGCTGAACAAACATGGAGAGGCCTATCCTTAAAGACGCTTTGTATATTTTAATTTATTTTTTACACGAAGAACACACACATTTCTTAGCACTGTGGTATTATACAGAAGAGACTGACCTAAAGCAATCAAGCCACAGTAAGTAACGATGAAAGTGTTTCTAAATCACTTTTCTTGAGGGAAGGAGAGGTTGCAGAGGAAGACAAAACACAGAGCCATGAAAGAGAAGGACCAGGAGTCAGAAGTAACAGCACCAAGTGACCTGTATGGTACTTTAGAATTTAACTAAACGCCTTAAATCAAGGAAGCCAACTAATGCAATGTGAAAACAGTAGTACAACAGTGAGCACATGTTTGACTCCAAGTGAAATAAAAATCCACCACCTACTGTGAGAAAGAGTATTTCCCACCTTAAATGTATAGTGAGAAAGGATATTTCCCACCTTAAATTTACAGCACACAATTAGACACAGAATAAAATGTATTTATAAAATATGTATTAAAAATAGATATATAAAAAACTTTTACTGAAGGCTTATTTAGTTCTGGAGACAAACCATTTCCAAATTCCACTTAAAATCAGTATTTACAAGCACTTTAACTTATGTCAGCAATCACGAGCTAGAAATCACATACTTGATTGAAATAACACAATAGATTTGCTATTCAAAATAAGAACTAGCTGAAGTTGATCTATATACTAAACATTTTACCATTGCTGGATTCGCAGAAAAACCCACAGTACTGAAAAACAGAAAGAGAACACCTTGGACAGAACCTCAGCGGACCCAAAAAGAACAAACTGGATCCAAATCTGATAGGCATTGCATCATGTGATGTGTGATATTTTGTTTAATAAAAACTTCAGCTTAACTAGTATATGTGCCAAAGCAATACGGGCCAGAACGAGAAACATGCATTTCAATACTGGTAAAAATTTAGTATTAATAGTCATATTGATTCTCCAGTATAAGAAACCAGATTAAAAGGACTTCGAGACCCAGTGTATGCAACAGGATAACC